AGATTCCTTGGTTGTGATATATCGGCAACTTGGATGATTTGCCTGCACAATAAAGAGAGCTCCTTAGAACAGGCTTGCCTGCACGCGCCGGATGACACATGCACCATTTCGTTGATAACACAGGATGTCATACACCTTACCTAACCACGTTTTTAAACGTATCTGAAAATGGGCTACGCACCCCAAATGCATGGTGTCGCCACGTGCGCTCATGGAAGTGAAAGATGAATCAGAACATGTTTCTGTCATGGCTTGCCGCAAAACGTGTTAGAACCCGTATAATGGAGCGTATTGAACGCCATGATGTCACAAGAACAACAGGGTGTGGGGAAATCTTGTCTGTCCGCAGCGCAGCCGTTGCTCCCCTTGGAAACAAAATTTTCCTGACAAACTTTGTGTGTCTTGCGCCGTAAAAAGAGAATTTGCGACACCCGACAACCCCTCGAACTCAGAGTCTGTGCGCGGTCGGTTCAAGCGCCGTTTTGTTGACGAAAAACGCCTCCTCCCTGCCACAAAGCCGTCAACACCGCCAGCTAACCCCAACCAACAACAATCAACGACAACCAACAACAACAACAACCACATGACACGCACGCACATGCGACGCCCTTGCTGCCGAGCTTTCCTTCTTCGAGCAGCTGAGCCACCTCGCGTTCCAGGAGCGCCAGGCTCCACTTCCCGGGGATGGCTTCCACGTTCAGCCACTCCGCGCAGTCGTCCACGCCGCCGCGCATGGCGACGCCGTACTTGAGGGCGTGGGCCCTGAAGAAGTGCATGAGGGTCTGGTTGGGTATCTGTCGCACGCACGCAGGGTAGCCAAACAAACGCACGGGAGCGTGCGGGGATCAGGTTGGGTCTCTCCTGCCGCGAGGATAAGAAAAAAGGGCGTTTGGTTCCGTATTTGGGTCACAAGCGCATGCTTTTGTAGCATGAACGAGACAGCAAGGGGGGCGGGGGGACTGCTGTCGAGTGTGATGGTGGTTGTCGGCGCAAAATCAGAAGCCAGGGGGGCATCGCGATACCGCACGCGCGTACGAGACCGTGCTCCGCCGACAATAATGCGAGGGGATTCCGGATAGATATTGTATAGTTGGCTCCCTACTACCACGCCCTGGAGGATTCGTGGGTGCCCGAACCTAAGGGTTCAGGGAGGAGGCAGTTGGGGCTTGATGTTGTATCGTGTTCAGTGAGCTTTCCACGCCGCCGAGAGGCTACGCAAAATCCTTCGGAGCGTACGGTCGGAAGAAGGCCTGGATGAGATTCTGCCCTATCAATCAAAGTCAGGTCAAGACCGGGTGGCACGACGGTCGTTCGTACAAAGCTAGAGCAGTAGCTACGGCAAACGGCGGGTACCACCGCTCAGCAAAAAGAGGTGTACCCTTTGATATGACTTCGGGACTGCTAAAAATAGATGAACGAGAGGTAAACATTTTTCAGCTACGTTTCGCTTGGAGTCGTACATGAAAGCAGGGTAGAGGAGAGCAACGCTTGACACAACAGGAGCGCTCGGCAACAACTTCGTTGCAAGCAAAGTTGCGGCTTTGCGTGTACAATGAAAGAATATCTCTACAGGGCAGCAGTGAGGTAGTCTCGGCACGCCGATGGTTTAACTCGTGGTATGCTACAGCAGTACATCCTCGGGCATCCTGGTGGGCGTGGTGGCAGCAACGACTCCGGCTGGCACGCCTAGCTGTAAGACTAACCGTCCTGTCTTGTTACAGAAGCAGTACATTTAGCCGCCACACCAACCCACCTTGTCAGAGGTAACTCCGAGGTCGGCCCAGAACTTCACCACCTCGTTCCTAATATTCTCATCATTGGACCAGTAGGCCGGCGGCCTCCGCCTCTTCTTCCTCACGCCCCCCCCATCCTTCTCCTCAGCTTCCGCGGCAGAGGTCTCAGCGGCGCCCTGCTCCTCCTCCTGTCGCCGCCTGCTATGCCGCCGCAACAAGTCATCTCTATGGCGAAACGCGCGCGTGGTCGACTCGCCGCCCTCCTGCTGTTCCTCTAAGCGAACGTCCTCCTCATCAGCCACAGCAGTGGCTTCCCCAGCGCCTGAACCGCACAGGTACCACTCTGGCCTGCTGCTGCCAGGCGCGACCACCCCCCAGTGTAGTGCATCTGCAACCGTCCTCTCTCCCGTGTTGCCAAAACTCGCCGACCCTCGTTGCCGTACTCTCCCTCTTCTTCGACCGCCACCAACTCCTAATACTGCTGCTGGCAACTCGGAGCCTGGAGAGGAGAGAGGCTCACCTCGACTCACGTGGCACGCGTGATGCTGGCGATGGCGCTGTGGTTGAAGGCGGTCGCTGCCGCTGCTGCGAGGCCCGCCGCTGCTGTGTGGGCAGCGATCATGATGATGCCGCGGGACTGCTGCTGGAGGCGTGGTGAAAGCGACAGCCAGCGCTGCCGACAGCGCACCGACGGCTGCCACAGCCAGCGAGGAATCGATCGGGCGTCTCCTTGGCCTAGCAACGCGCTTTCGACCAACAGAAGGCATCGTCTTCTCTGTGCTTCTGGAACAGGTTGGGCGGGAGTCATGGCATGTGTCAAGCCTTGTAATCTCGCCGCATGTGCCTTGCACTGACGACGCCATACAGTTTTTTTTTTCACGGAAGCCCGCCTAAACAGGAAGTGCAGCAGGTTCTCTTCCCCACCTATACTCACTGCTGTTTTCAGGCATCCCTTCGACTGTGGTAATATCTCGAACGGGTAGTCTTTCAGTGATTGCGTTATAGAATTTAAGGAAACCCAGCAGAGTACCAACGTGTAAAGTGCATATATATCAAGGTCAACGTTTTAAGCAAACCAATCGTCGGCCTGCACATTACCACCTCAAAGACATCAGTTGATTTGCACTATCCTCCTGCATGTGCGTAGTCTAACGGCCGTAGAGTTAGTACGCGGACAACCCAGTTTTGGTGGATGTGCTGGAGTGCTGCAGCCGCGATGCCAGGAGCATAGAGAGTGGCTATCCTACGATGTGGACTAAACATCGTACATCGTAGATGTAGCTCGGCGATACTTGAGGGATAGTCTACACACGAGACAGACAACGGGGGGCTCTTAACGTTCGGTTTTAGAGACCCTCTTCCACACCCCGAGGCATTTCGATAAAATCAGCACGAACGGCGGCACGAGGATGGACAGTAAGCACACAACACCCACCACGCCTTCGGTGCGGTGTACCGTCATGCACTGACTGTGCCGTAGCCATCGTTGTACCCAGGGCGGAAGACGTCAAAATCTCCCCCAAGCCATTGAAGGTCAGGTTGAATAACATTAACTGCTTCGTTTCCTCACGAAAGGCATACGTGTTGAGGATGCCACCATCCACACGATCCACGCCACGCGATCCCCTGAGCGGCGCAGCGTTAACACAAGCCTCTTCTTGCAGCACATCGCTCAGCAGAACACTAGAGGATGGCAGCACAGCCTGCCAGATCTCCGACCCCCAACACGCAATTTTTTCCAACAAGAACAACCGGCACGCTTCGAGCATGAATGTCCATGGCATAGATCTTCTCT